TTTTAAACACTTCAAAGATTTAACGTTTTTTTTCTATTTAAAATATTTTCAGTGGCGGATCACAGAAGCAACTTGGCTAAATAGAATAAAAAATTGATGAATAAATTTGCATACATTAAAGAGAGATACATTTGCGAGCCCAAAATGTGCTACACTTAAAAATTTATGAAGAAAATGATCGTCATAAGAGCTTTGAATCAATGCTACCACCCACCCATCTGACGACAAATGAACTGAGTACTTTCCTTTATTACCGTCGGCACACCTGGAAATGCTCACAAACACGTTAAAATTTTTCATTTTTTTAAGCTTTAGTAATTTAAATGTGTCAAATTCACCGCTCCAACAAAATTGAATTCTGAAGATGAATATGAAGACATTTGTTAGCGAAGCAATCTTGCGCGTTTCAATTTTTTTGCAAGATATTTGTTATACTTTTTTGAGCACAATATTCCGACTTGAAATGTTAAAAATGTTCACAAAGTTATAAAAAACTTGTTCACTCCAGAAGACAAACAAATTTTTTGTCCGTGGCATGTCTTGGACGCGCTGGTAATGAAATGTTAAAATGATTGGCAACTGATGAGATATTGGTTCAACGTGAACTGCACTCTTTCTGGTACAAGCTGCCTCTGCTTATTATGTCCTTTTCAACTAGTTTTTAGCTTTTTGTAAGGTATTTGCAAACAAATTTGGTCGTCTAACCAACCAGGTTAAGAGAATAATTTGGAGGAGAATTTTGAAAGATTTTGTAATAATTTTAAAAATAAAAAAGAATGCCCTACATGAGTGAGTGAAGAGATAAAATTAAGTTAACTCAGAAAATTTCATCTTATTTATAAACTATTTGTTAAAAATTGTATAAAGCTTATCAAATTAATTTTTCTAGCGCTAATTTTATATTCAACTTCTTTGTACGAACCTAGCTTAACATGAAATAATATTAACGAGAAATTGAAAAAAAACAGAATTATTAATGTTTAACAACAAAATATCGAAGAATAAAATTTCAAACCTAAACTTTTATTCTAGAATCATTTCTTGTCGCCATTCATCATATTTTCTGCGTCTTATAATTTCACAAATATCTATTCATTTATTCTCATATTTTTTGATTTTTTGTTTATTTTCTCATATTCTTGTGGAATGGTTCTTTTGATTCATACAAACAACATACAAATACATTCTAACAACCACCCACCCACCCACCCATCCATCCATCCATTCATCCATTCATCCATCCATTCGTCCGTCCGTCCGTCCGTCCATCCGTCCATCCATCCATCCGTCCATCCATCCATCCATCCATCCATCCATCTT